TTGTGCCAATAGAGTGCAAAGAGTGGCGGTGAAATTGTTACAGAAAATCTCGTTACTTACTTATTTTTCTTTCGTGGAGGCCACAGAAGTATTGACAAAAATTTTTAGCACCTTTTTTTTTGCTTTAACAAAAAAATCGGAGCCGAGGAATTAGATTATAGGAACTTTTCTAATCAATAAAAAAATTGTGTACTATTTTGATGTTCTCTGTTTGTTCTTTTTTTTTTGCATGAAATTGACTCTGATTCACTTTCGTTTCATCTATAAACTTTAGGCTTTTCTTTAGAATTATATTTTCTATTTTACGACATTAGGTTTGTTTTCTAAAACGTCAGGTATTTTTGATAGATTGAAATAGATCTAAGAACAAATTAATTATACAAAGGTTTTGATGAGAGAGCATGAACCAGGTAAGCCAGTAACTTTATCGGATCACACCACTTTTAATTGTCATTTACACGTAATTTTGATTCATTCCTAGTTTGCCTTGATGTGTGTTCAAGAAAAAAAAATGTAAAATTGAGGATTAACCGTTTGAAAAGCGATTTTTTAATTCTCTATTACAAAACCGAAGATGCATAACTGGTTGATTCTGGTCTTAAAAGAAACCGCAGATAGATCAAAATACCAACTTGTTTCTGTACAAACAAGGACAATGAGACTTAACGGATTGTCAGTCAAGCTGATGGCTTTCTGGTCTTTTCTTCAATATTTTAGCGGGGCCACTCATCTATGGTTAGAAGTCCAATTACAGTAGCTGAGTATTCGTGTACGTTGTCTCGGTGCATGGCGAGCTTTGATCTCTGTGTTATACGATTTCTCCTTAATCGCTAAATCTTCCACCTGATATCTTTAGCGACGCAACTCGAGCTAATGCCAGGTAATCTTGAATTGAAAAGATTACGCGGAATGAAATCGTTTATCAATTTAATGAATAAAAGATTAGTGACAACTTCGCGCACGATGACGTGTTAAATGGGTTGAAATAAAAGCAAAACAGTTTACTGCCATATCGTTTATATTTTTATACCCGAAGGATTAGGTGCTCATTTAAAAGTTTCTTCTGTGACGATAATATCGTTTAAAAAAGGAGATTAAGGTCACACAACACGATTTTAATCTAATCTAAAAATGGACTCTTAACAGAACATCGGAAATATCCATTTGGCCCCAGAAAAACAAGAAACATATTCAGGATAACTTTTTCACTATCGGCCAGAAAAATTACAGACTTAACTGAAGTCACAGCAACACGAAAGTTCCACGAAAGAGAAACTTAGACAAACCTAGATCCAGTAACTCTCAGTTAAAGTACAAAACGAGTTAATTGTTTGCTTAGTTTTGAGGTTTTAACTTCAAGAATCAACTTTGCATCAGAACTGAAGTCTCTTACACATCTTACCTTTTCGCCTGACCCTTTGCTTCGCTCGTGGCACGGAAACACTTCTACTAACGCCAAACGCGTGCCTTGACTTGTGCAAACACTTTTCTCTGTGAATATTTAGTTCAATTCATTGTGTAGGCCTCAATTTAAGCAGCACGCTTCGTCCTCCTTGTATGTTGTTTGCCAGCGTGTCGTAATGTATGCACATCTTTATCTCCTTTGCCATGCGATTTTTGTCGTCTCTCTAGAGAGCTAGAGCCGTTTAAGATGAATTTTTCTCATTGTTTTATGATTAATGTCTTCAGAGAGGCTCCAGAAACATCATTTTAATTATTACCATTTGAATAAGACAGGAC